TTATGATATATCACTCAACCCAGTCCAATGATTAATTGTGGTACAAGATTTTGCGTGGAAAACAAAAAGCAAAAAAAAAAATTAAAACACACCTGAATACATAGTTCCTCCCCATTTTTCAAATGGTCTGAACAACAACTGTCATCCCAAAACGCTCGCAAGCTTATGATTTGAAAAAAGTTTCAAATTATGATTTTGGCCTTGAATCTTTGATTCAAGTAGTTCCTCGAGTTTTGGACTTGACTTTGGTATCTAGAGGAGTTTTAGCTGATATTTGTGATTTTAATGTCTCATTGTAGATTAAAGGATTGAACTAACATCTCAAAATCGTCTATAAAGAGCGCAAAATAATACAAAATTAGCCGGTTACTGAGCATGTAGCAGAGAATGTCTTGACCATAGCCTTCAAAAAAGTACAAGATTTTTTTTCAAATTAGTGTAGTTTTTTTCTGCGTGGCCTGATAAAAAGATCTGACGTAGAACTATAGCTTCGGCACATTTGACATTCATTGTAAAATAAGCAATCAGGAGATCAGTTTTTAAGCAAAAAGAATTATAAGCAAAACAAACAAAATAATGAGAAAGTTTGAAAAAATCATACTTTTTTCAAATTTTTTCTGCAAATTTTTTGAAATTTTTTTGAAGATTTTGATTCTTAAAACTGCATTAAAAGTCTCCAAACACTGAATTTACTTGAGCGAAACTAAATTTTAGCACAGATAAGCTGTTGTAAACGGCCTAAAATAAGCATAATAAGCTCGCTTTATACGCTCGAATTTAGACGAAATATCAAAAAATTTAAACCTGTTTTTCTCGATACTGGGAAAACGTTTTGGGAATTTTGACTAAAACGGCTGTATTAGGATATAGCATTCATCTTTCTACGAAGATTTATTGCGGTAGCTGATTTTGCAAAAAAAACAAAGAAAACGAAAAAGAAGAATGAAAAAAACCAAAACGCACCCGAATACAAAGTTCTTCCCATTTCTCAAATGATTGCAATAACTCGTCTTTTTTGAAAGAGGCAAAAAGTTTAAATTTTTTACATCAATTAGAATCAACACTGAAAGTAGTACATTTGGATATATACACTTTTTTATTTCTCTATATATTCTCTAGATACTATAATTCTAACCCAAAAATTTAAAACAAAGGCTTGGGATTATTCATTGGCGTGTGGCGTATCAAAAATTTGCGCTAAGAACGGTTACTCTTAAGTTATCTCAATATAGAAAAAAAAACCGGTTGCTCTTTGTTGCTCTGCAAGTAGTACAGAATGGTCCGACCATAAATATCGAAAAACACAGTTTTTTTTTGTTTTTCATATTAGTGTCGTTTTTAGTGTGTGGTATACAATCGAGTACAAAGCTAGTAAATTAGCAATAATCGACAGTATTTGTCTTCAAAAAGTGAATTAAAAATGTCTCAAAAAACGAACAAAAAAGAACTACAAAAATATAAAGTTTTTTTTCTAACTTTTTGCGCTCTTAATTTTTTTTTGAAATTTTTTTTGCGTCATTCGTTCGAAATTTAGACAAAATTTCCAAAACCTCACACCAGTTCTTCTTGACAAAGGGACAACTTTTTGAGAAATTTTTAATGTCCGAATTATGCTTAAAAAGCTTTAATATGATATATCACTCGGCCCGTTCCGGTAATTTTTTGTGGAACCATATTTTGCCCCAAGAGTCCAAAAACCCAGGGAAAAAAGAAAAAAAGAAAATAATAAAACGCAACCGAATTTAAAATTCCTCTTCACTTTCAATAGTCGGAACAAAAACACGCCAAACATAGATTTTTGGTTATTTTCCCTGAAAGTAGGGATAACACAATAGACAAAAGACAAATTAAATAAACAATCTTTTTAATGCCTTATGTTGAAAAAGTTAGCCCAGTTTTGACCAGGCCTATACAAATTTGTGTGTTTTTTTTAAATTTGAACTACTGTAATTAGGTTTCGCTATGGAACAAGATTAAACCTAAAAAAAATTTTGATACGAAACGTATTAAACAGGAACTCATGCCAATCTTGAATTAGTAGTTAACTTTTGATAAGCCTAGAACTATTGTGCTCTTTGATTAGAATAATCGGGCACCTTGAATACTTGAATAAAAAGAGCCCAGGATTACCAAGAAGCAGAGTACCAAGTTCTTTCAGCTTTAAAAATTTTGTGAGCTATGGAACCCCAAAAGTACAAGATACAACGCAAAAGATGAAATATATATAATCAAGATTAGTTTCAGAGCTATTTGAAGATTGCCTAGTTGAGAGAAGAATTAAATGAAGTTTTTTCGCAAGCCTAGCAAGGTCTCTCTTTGCTTGTAAACCATTTAACGCGAGTCACCTATTGTGTAATATTTGACATCCAACCGGTGTTATCTGTAAATTAGATATGTTTTTTCATAATTATTCATCAGAAACTTTCCATTTGAAAAAAGAATTATCGTTGAACAAACGTTCATTTTCGCAACCGAATTTTTGCAACTGGAAAAAGAATTAACGTTGAAACAAACTTTTTTGACAACTTTCATTTTCGCAACTTTTTTATGGAATTTATGTTCGCTGAAAGCAACGAACAAGCAACTGTGGCTTTCTTCCTCCTCAAGGATTCGACCCCCCTGCCGACCCAAAGGGTCCCCCTTTGTCCAATTTTGAGCGACGGACCCTAAAATTTTCTAAAAGCGCATTTGGCGCCAATATATACTAGTTTTGAGGGGGGAGCGCGCGCCGAAAAAACGCAATTTTTTGGCCAAAATTTTACAAAAAGTGCCTAAAAACGCCTTTTTTGGCCTGTTTTGTCTAAATTTTGCGGGCGGCACAGAAAATTTTTCAAAATAGGGAGAAAACAGTGCTTTGGGAGAGCTCGAAAAATCAATTTGGTCGACCTAAAAAAAAGGTCGACAAAATTTTTCAAAATCCGCCCCCCCCCCTCGAGAAAATCCTAGATCCGCTCCTGAGTACTACCATCTGTTCCCATCAAACTGATATACGAAACAAAAATTAATTGATTCAAAATTATTAAAATAAAATTGAAAAATTATATATTTTACAGTTTTTGGTCTAATTTTTTTTTCTGTTTTCCAATTTTAAATTAATCGTTTTCAAATCAAGGATCTCTTCAACTTCCCCACCTTCTGCAAATGGGTGGATATTTGTCACTTGGTACAAAATTCTCATAAACCGCCGTTAATATATTTCTTTATAGGTGGAGAGATTCGTAACTAGGTACCCAGGGGAAAATAAATCACAACGGAAAGGACTTTTTTTGATACCGCATTTGATCCTCTACGAACTTTATTTCAGGTAGTCAAAATTGACCCAAAAAACACCGGGTTCTTTTCCACTTTTCCCCCAACATTTCAAATTTTCATTTTTCTTAGTGTGATTATGGCTAAACGCGTGATGTTACGATGTAAGGTATAGAGAACATATCTGTTCACAGTAGTTAATTTGTTCACCAGGCAAATTTTTGTTGCATAATCACAACGTTAAAGTATTGCATTGAAATTACACAAAGAGATCAACTTCTCATCCATTTCTCGATGTAAATAAGCCTAAAATGGGGGAAATTTTTTTGTGGTTTCTTTAACAAGCAATACTCAAAAAAATTAAACGAGGGAACTAACGATGTCTTACAAGCTGTATTTGTTAAAGTGGTCAAAAAAAATTGTCGTAATCGGATTTTGGTCATAGAATTTAAAAAATATATTTTTATGGCTATTGTATAAATTTGTATCTTACCTTTCGTATCAGTCAGCCTTCATAAAAGTAAAATCTATTTTGATTGGTATAAGTTTTTAAGTCGCAAAGTTTAATTTAAAAGCGCAACGACCGGAAATTAAATAAGGAAGTTAACTTCGACTAGTATAGCAAATTTCATTAATGGGTTTCTTCACTTATGACAAAAAACTTATTCATTCACTTGGGATTTCAGTTCATGTCAAAATTGGTGCCTGTTGGGTTTCAAAATGGGCTCATTTTAAATTAAATTCTCACTCTTGGGGCTAAATCGGTTAATTGTTTTCACCTTCGGACAAAAGAAAAGTCAATCATTTAAAACAATTGAAACCATTAGGAAAGCAAAAAGCAAGTGAACCTCTCTGTTTGAGGGCAAATTTGGTCTCTTTGAGGAAACTTGACAAGTATTTGAAGATAATGTTTTATAGACTAAGTACCCAAATGGCACTTTGAAAAGGGTGCAGTACAACAATTCTCACAGCCGAAAAGTAAGCTGGCCGAAGGAGTTTTTCTCAATTCTTTATGCAAATGTTTGGACAAATAATTGTTTTTGGGATCTAACTTCCCAAAAAATTAGCTCTTTTGCGAGTTATTTTATATAAAAAAGTGTCCCAGAAAAAATCAGCTTTTTTGAGGATTTTTTAGATAGAAAAAATTCAACAGTTTCAAAAGTATAATGAAGCAATTTACTATCCTCCTCGTTAAAGCGGCTTAGAAGGAAAGATGTCAAGTTGGCTTAAAGTTGGAAATTTCAGCCCATCCTGAAATTTCCAACTTGAAACCAACTTGAGGAGCTTTGTGACTGAGAATTGTTGCAACGCTAAGCAGTTTCCATACTAATCAAATAGTGGGCTAGAGTATCATGACTTTGTCTGTTAAGGGAAGTGGAAGCTGCAACTTAATCCGATATAAAAATTTCACTAATTGATTCAAAGATTTGGTTTCACATATAATCTTGAATCGATTCTAATGTTTCACCATTGGGAAAAATTAAGAAGAGCTTTTCCGAAGTTGGGATTTTCGAGTGAGATGAAACTGGATTGACTGTGATCACAATTCAATGCACAGTGAACTAATTATCTATTCGAGAAATGCTTTTGAGTCTTGAAAGCAACGTTTTTAGCTCCAATTTCACGAGAAAAAGAATGCAAAAAATCTTCCAAAATTCGACATTTTTAAACATCGGCTTTTCAAACCACCTCACCAGAATGTAATCATGTTTTAAATGAATGAAAGTCTATTCTCAGTTGTTCAAATTTACCTGTGTGGAGTATGTATGTAAATGTTCTATAAAATGCTGTAGTATATCAATAAAACCATGTATCGATTACTTTCAGACTGTCTCGCTACTTCAGACTTCCTGTCTTGAAGTATAAACAATAAAAATAAATATTTTCACGCAGATCTGGATTTCAGTTGGATTTTGGTCGATACTTTGGCCCGAAGATTGTTTTTGTTTTTTGCTCTGCTGTAGATATCATTTTAAGATGGATCTTACGCAAGACCGGATACCATTTATGAAAGGGTTACAAATATTTTTTCGAGCAAACCATCCAAATGGCATATTGTAGCTCTCGTCCTATAATTTTCAAGATCCATACACAATAAACTACACGTTGTCTCCACCTAATTATCAACGAATCTCCCAAAACTTCAAACTATCAGTTTCGAATCTTTTAAAATTCACTTTCCAACCCAATTTTGTCGCCACTCCCTTTTTTGAAAAGTTGTCCCAATAATGATAATCACGAATGGTATTCTGTAGAAACTTAGAGTTAATTCGTAATTGATCAAAAATATTCATGAATAAGTCTTACCTAATAATTTGGGAAGCAAAAGAGCAAATTAGTTTTCAATTCTATTGAGTTTTTCAAGATTTTATTATGCAACTTTGATTGAAACTTAGTCTACCGAAAGAAGCAAATCCAAGATAACCCACATTATGTCATTTGTACCACCCATGAAACCTGTTCACATTTTGTCTGCGTGGTTGACTAATTAGACAGCTGTTTTTCATTTTGGACTTGTAAACAGTCCCTATAATCTAGACCCAAATGAAAGGAACTAGTCCTTTTCAAACTAGGAGGAAAATTTTCTATCTATGAGGTAGAACCGGTTGATAATCGAATGAATTCAGCAGCTAAACAGTCATTCTCTATGTAGAAAAAATTGCTGAACTATCGACTAATTGACTGCTATATTCTATTCAAATTTTTCGTCGCAATGACATCTTTTGGCTGTTTTTTTATATAATTTTTTTTATACAATTTGTCTAGAACTTGAAAATTAATCACATTTTTAGCAAGTACTAAAAACCCTGGATTCTTGTAATTTCAATCGGTTGTAGTCAATACCTTGAAAAAGAAAGTTTAACATATCATTTGAATTTATATATTTATAGCCGCAGTTATTCGTCTATTCGACCCTTTATCGTCCGAAGAACCTGTTTCGAAAGAGCTGGTTTTTAGAAGGGGATATAAATGGGCAATTGAGACCAAGTTTATGGGACGTAAAACGACCAATTTGTCAACATAAACAAACCAAACCAAAACACCTGTAAAGTTTTATCTACACATTCACTTATAAAACTCAGATTTTCTTAAATTGAACATAAGCTTCGGGATAAATATAAAATCCTATAACCCGGTTTCAAACTCTGACACAAGCATATGGAAATGGGAGCAAAAGCAATTTGGAGTTTAATTGAATGGCTTTAAGAGCGGATATTCGTATCCAGAAATGCCACCCAAAGTATACCTCAAATATGTGGTCTGACCAAAAAAAAATGTGATCTCACGTGTTCAAAATATGCCTGAAGATCAGTGATTAATTCAACGCTAACACTCAAGTTCTAAGATTTAAGTAAACCCTAGGAAGTGCTCACGTGATCAAAAACATAAAAACTCTGCTTAAAAATGTGATCAAAAACATTAAACCTTTACATATTCATTGGCTATATATCGACGCCAATACATTTTTGAAGGAAAAATTTGAATTTTGGCTGTCCAAAGTATTCTATTCAATTCTCAAAGAAAATAGACGAAGTATTTAATCTCGGAAATAAAAGAAAAACAAGACTGCTCGTATCAGGGCGAAGCCCTGAATGTTATGACTGCCTTTTAAGGTCTATGGAGCAGTAATAGTATGAAAAATTAAATGTAAAAAAAATAAAAAGAGATTGTATTTTTTTTTTTAAATTTGAGGTTTTTTGTAAAACCCATCAACCCACACACCACATAATGATCAAAGTGATAAATTTCGCTCCTAGGAACAAACCAATTATGTCAAATAAGCTTCCCTCAACCAATTAAGAACGATTTCTAAGACGGACTCAATCTCAAATAGCGCGAAATATATAGCGCGTTATTTGTCACAAATTGGCCTAAATGGCAATCTCTAAACCCCCATAACTTTACAAAAAATGATCACAGGTGAAATATCTTTTCAAATTTAAGCTCAAGACAACAATACTTGTTGAATGATCTAAAGAAATTCCGTCAAAAATGGCTAGTTAAAAAGTCGAAATTTGTCCGAAGAAAAAAAACCACTCAGAGCACAAATATTCCGTACAAATATAGAGCACAAATATGCCCAGAGCACAAATATACCCAGGGCAAAAATATACCCAGAACCCAAATATACCCAGAGCACAAAAAAAAACAGCGAAAAAGGTGAAAAGATTTTTTGAATTTTTGAAAACATATTTTGATTCAATTTTCAAAGAAACTGCCGTCGATTATGTCTTATTTACTAGATCTATCAAACATGCCAAAATCTAGGCTTTGAGGCTTATTTTTACCACGGACAAATAACTTCGCGAAACTTTATTGAAACCAAAACGAAACTTCTTTGAAAAAATTTTACCGTCAGGAACTTTATGTACTACATGCACAGCAAACAGTTACTCCTGTTTTTATCTGTAGCCAAGCTGAAAATTGTTGTTACCATTTTTGCTGTACGTATTGTTCCATTTAATACAGTGCTGATTAAAATTATCCGGACAAATTGAATAAAACTTAAAATTTAAAACTCAAATTGGGATGATTTTAGACAAAAAATGACGTAGATCAATCTTGCTTAAATTTTTAACAGAAATTGTATTCTGTAATTTGTTTTTGCAAAAATCAAGCCCAAGAAATCACCCCAAAAACGGTTATGTTTGGCTTTATTTAGTCAATCAAAATTTACTCCAAACCTATTTGTTCATTTACTGCCAAAACTACATCAGTACAACCTCCTTATGTAGCCCAATAAAATTTTAAAAAGGTGTAACTTCCTAATGTGGGCGCAAAAACTTAAGTAATTATTTTATTAAAACAATTGGTGTTTTATATTGTAAAAATGAAGTTTTTTGGCAATCAACGAAAACAAATATGATTATACAAAGCTGAGTCTGTTAATTTGCTGACAGAATTATATCACTGCAAGCCTCTTATTTAGAGACTTGCGAGACTTGCAGGGTGTAATTTATACAAAATTTATGCAGAATATAATTTTCTCTTTTTTTGTTTGATAGCCAAGAATTGTCATTTTTACCCTATAAACCATTTTTTTCTAAGCAATAACTTTTTTGGAACCTTTTGCGCCCATTTTTGGAGAAAACAACTTTCTTAAATTTTGTCGCGATACATAAGAGGCTTAGAGCGTCAGTAAATGAACAACATGTTTGAAGTCACTTTTGATTGACTAAACGAAGCCAATATTGATCCTTTTTGGGGTAATCTTTTGGGCTCAATTTTACAAAACAAATTGCACCTTCATCATTTTGTAAAAAATTTTAAGAGAGATTGATCTGCTCTAAAATCAACCCAATTTGAGAAAAACGCAACTTAGATTTCAATTTTTTTTTATTTTGTCCGGATAATTTAAATCAGCGCTGTGCCTTTCGCTATTTAATTTTAAGTTTGATGTCAATGGCTAAAATCTGCTGTGACAAGCCGCCCAACGAATGAAATGCTTGTTATTGAAAGGCAGAATTATGGACACTCTTGGAAACATAGACACACATTTTTTGCTACGCACGTGATCACTTTCAAGCAGTCGTTTAATTTTATTTGTAGACAGCAGAAGAAAAATAAATCGTTTGATTAATTTCTCGCAAAAGTAGTTCTCTTTTGCATCGGAAGCAGTTTGCGTAGATGGAGAGGACGAGCTGGCGATATTTTTATGTCTCATGTGTAAAGCAGTAAGAATTACAAAAAACCATCGAGAGAAACAAAAAAACTTAAAGACGCACGTGAGTGCGTCATTCGAAAAAATGGCATGGAGCACGACAATGTATGAAAGGCACGCAACACTGTCAACAAGCAACAACTTCACGCATGAGATTCTACATTTTGAACAAAACAACAGATAAAAACAATACCAAAAAAAGGGACAGGAACAGGCCAAATTTGCCCAGCTGGAACCTTTTGAAAAACAGTTGGACGAAAAATTTTAGTCCAAATAATCGTTAGAACAAATAATCGTTAGTCCAATTGAGATATCCGTAAGCATTGAAAAGTCAAAGGCTATAAAGGCAAAACAGATGAGTTGACATCCCTAGTCCATCACGGGAGGTTAATTTGCAAGATGTTGCAAGATTCTTGCCAAATAGGGTTATCTTGAATGATCTTGCAAGATGGAGGTTATCTTGCAAGAATCTTGGAAAAGGGAGGCTATCTTGCCAGAATCTTGCAAGATTCTTGCACAATAACCATTCCAAAAATTCTGTCTAAAAACAAAAAAAATAAACAGAAACTAGGTTTATGGTCAAAACAAATTGATTCTAGAACGAGAACGCAAAACGTTTTCGAGTTGATCAGAGAAAAAGGTTATTTTTTCAAAATTTTTAGTTTGAATCGTTAAAAATTGTGTAGATGTGCTCTCGATGAAGCATATGTGTTCTGATTTGCAGTGATTCACACTTTTAGTACACAAAAACGTATATGTTTATATATATATATATATATATATATATATATATATATATATATATATATATATATAACAATCTTTTAAATTTTTTGATGAATGCGCTCGGAACTTTCTACGACTTGCACAACAATTGCTACTCTCGTTACGATGGTTTTCAGTTATGGTCAACCCGGGTATCTACAATTTAAAAAAAGTGCTTAACCGTTTTCAACTCAAGCAAGATTTGTTCGATGTATTGACCAAAAACAATGTGAGCGACTTTTTTCAAATGCTCGAGCAAAATAACCACTGGAAAATATGTAAGTATGTGTATGTATGTATGTATGTATGCATGTTTAAATGTAAGTATGTTTGTATCTATGTATGTATGTATGTATGTATGTATGTATGTATGTATGTATGTATGTATGTATGTATGTATGTATGTATGTATGTATGTATGTATGT